TATACTTTCTCTCTTTAAAACTCCAAATTTGGGATAATGTATCTATAAAAAATTTTAGATAGCTTCTCTCTCTAAAATTTAATATACTTTCTATGTAAAATTTAAATTTTGAAATTGTCAATCTAAAAATTTTGAGATAATTTCTCTCTCTAAAATTTAATATAGTTTCTCTTTTTAAAATGTTTAGATACTCTCTCTTTAAAACGTAAAACTTAAGATAGTTCCCAACTTCAATAATTTTGACATATTTTCTCTCTCTAAACATTTTAAGTAGTTTCACTCTCTAAAATATGATATAATTGTTCCCTCAAATTTTAAAATACTTTCTCTTTTAAAAGCTAAAATTTGAGATGATTTTTCTTAAAAAAATTTTGCGATAGTTTCTTTTTCTAAAAAATTTTATAGACTTTCTCTCTCTGAAATTTGATATAGTTACTCTCTTAAGTTTTAAGATGCTTTCTCTCTCTCTAAAACTTCAAGTTCGAGATAGTATCTCTCTCTAAAATTTTGAAATAGTTTTTCTCTTGAAAAATTGATATAGTGTCTCTCTAAATTTTGATATACTTTCTCTCTCTAAACTTTAAGATTTTGAGATACTTTCTCTCTCTAAAGCATAAATTTTGAGATACTTTCTTTCCAAAAAAATTTGAGATAGTTTTTCTCTCAAAAAATTTCATGTACTTTCTCTATCTAGAATTTGATATAGTTTATCTCTCCAAAATTTTAAAATACTTTCTCTCTCTAAAATTTTTTTGTGATAGTTTCTCTCTCCGAAACTTTTGAGATAGTTTCTATCTCTAAAAATTTTTAGGTAGTTGCTCTCTCTAAAATTTGATATAATTTTTATCTTTACAATTTTAATATATTTTCTCTCTCTCAAATTTCAAATTCGATATAGCTTCTCTCTAAAACTCAAATTTTGATATTGTTTCTCTATCTAAAAAAACGAGATATTCTCGCTTTAAAAAAATTTTCGACAGTTTCTCTTTCTAGAATTTATAATAATTTTTCTCTAAAAATTTAAGAATACTTTCTCTCTCCAACTTTAAAACTTAAGATTTGATATAGTTTCTCTCTCTAAAAAATAAAATATGAGATTGTTTCTCTCTAAAACTTTTGAAATAGTTTCTCTCTCTAAAAAATTTAGAAAGTTTCTCTCTCTAAAAATTTGCATGTACTATCTTTCTCTCTCTAAAAAATGATAGTTTCTCTCTAAAACTTAAAATTTGATATAGTTTCTCTCTCTAAAATTTTGAGATAGTTTATTTCTCTAAGCATTTTTGGTACTCTCTCTCTAAAATTTTAACATACTTTCTCTCTAAAACTGTTAAAATTTGAGATAGTTTTTCTCTCTAACATTTTGAGATAGTTTATCTCTCGAAAGAATTTCACTCTTTCTCTCTCTAAAATTTTAACATACTTTCTCTCTCTAAAATTTTAACATACTTTCTCACTCTAAAATTTTAACATATTTTCTATCACTAAAATTTTAACATACTTTCTCTCTTAATTTTTAACATACTTTCTCTCTCTAAAAGTTAAATTTTGAGATAGTTTCTCTTTCTAAAATTTTGAGATAGTTTATCTCTCTAAAAAATTTAGTACTTTCTCTCTCTAATTTATCATACTCTCTCTCTAAAATTTTAACATACTTTCCCTCTCTAAAAGTTAAAATTTGATATAGTTTCTCTTTCTAAAAGATTTGGTACTTTCTCTCTCTAAATTTTTAACATATTTTCTCTCTCTAAATTTTTAACGTACTTTGTCTCTCTAAAAGCTAAAATTTAATATAGTTTCTCTCTCTAAAATTTTTGAGATAGTTTCTCTCTTTAAAAAAATTAGGTACTTTCTCTCTCGAAGATTTTCTTATCTACCAAATGCTCCCTATGTTTCGGGTTGAGGAAAACCAATGAGTAAAATCCATAGGCCTTGGAAATGCAAAAAAATAGGTTTTGGTGTGGAAATGTAATTATGGAAAAGTAGATCTTCTTTACATGATTTTAAGTAGGGAAAATTATAAAATACACCCGAAAATGAACTATCTATACAACTTACCCACCCCAATTTTTTCTCATATTTTTTCCCCCAAAACAACCTTTCCTCGCAAAAACCCCCAAGGTAAAAAGTTCTTAGTTTTTGGACGAAAATTCCCTTCCCGTACAAACCAAATCAATTCACGATCCCAAGTAGAGTAGTGCCGGAGCACTGTATACTACTGCCAGAGTGGAATGTCAAGAAGCACTACCAGAGCGCAGTGCTACATTGCTGTAGCGAACTGTCGGAGTGCGTATTTTCAATGCCGGTGCACGTTCTCAGATAGCTGGAGTGGATTGCCGGAGCGCAGTTCTCAGTATACCAGAGCGATGCGGGTCAGACAAAGCACTGCTGGAGCGCACATCGTGACTGCCAGAGTGCGCATTAGGACTGTCGGAGCGCAGTCCTCCATTGTCGGAGCTGAAGGCTGTGTGAAAAAAAACAGGAGAGAAAAGGCCGTTTGAAAAGAAACTAGGGTATTTTAGTCTTATTTTATGTTACTTTTGGGTTGGGGGTTTTTGCGAGGAAATGTTGTTTGGAGAAAAAAAGTGTGAGAAAAAATTGGGGTGAGGGTAAGTTGTATAGATAGTCCAATTTAGAGTGTATTTTTTAATTTTCCCTTTTAAGTATCTATAGTAGATTTTTGTAAAACCCAAGATATTAGGAATCCATGCCTTAAAATTCATGTACCCAAACATGCCCTAAGTGTAGATTGGAGAAAAAATTAATTTTCTAGTTATCTCACTTCTCTCACTTCAAGTAGTCTCAAACGTGGATCTAAGAGTTACCAACTATATATATAGATGGAATAATAACATTAACATTAATATAAGTACATTTTGAATTTTTGAAAGAAGCAAAAGTGCATCACTCAAGAAATTTAAGAAACATGTTAAAAAGAAGGGCCTAGACCCACAGCATGATTTTAACCAACAAAGAAAGAGGCAAAGCTACGAGGACAAATAAATTAAGAAAAGAAGAAACTAATAAAAGAGAAAGAACAAAATTACATAAACTTAGTTTTTTTCTTTTGAATTTATTAGCTATCTTTACTTCAACACAGTTTCTTTACTCTTGAATTTTATCCGCTCACCCATATTGGCTGTCTTTTCATCAAACTGGAAGCATTTACTTATGCACCCAAGTAATTTTCCACAATAGTATTTTAGTTGGAGATTTGGGAATACCTGATAGTCAAATTAATTTCGAATTAATTTTTTTATATATTAGTATAAATGGTCAGATAAAATAAAATTAAAACGAGTTCTTATTTCTACTGCCGATCAAATTTTTTACTATTAATCTTTTTGAATGAGTAGGGCATATGAGCTAGCCAAACTAATGTGGCAAAATATGGGACTCTCGGCTTGGTAGCACACATGAAACTCTTTGGAATAACATGTATATATTGCGGGATTAATAGAGTGAAAGAGAATGATAAGCCTTCATTGTTTCTCTTTTCTTTTTCTATGTTATAAAACACTATCAAGCATCCGTATTCATATAAACTAATTTGCCATCCAAATGCAAAAACAAAATACATACTGGGAGAACTAATTTGCCACCCAAATTCAAAAACCAAATACATATTGGGAGAAACCTACTGGTAAATTAGAAGGCTTAATGATTAATAGAGTGAGAGAAAATTTGAGGTGTTGGAGGAGATTGAAGAGGTATAATGACTCAAATAATTTTTTATATATTCGATATCTTACTTCTTTTTTATTTTGATTATGGGTAACTATTGTATAGTATTTCTTCATTTTCAAATTCCCGTTGTCTAACTCAATTTACAGTTAGCCAAATTCTGCAGTAGAAAAAAATTAATTAAATACATATTTTAGTAATTTTTTTTCAAATGAAATATTTCTTTAGTATCAATTGATGGATATCTCCAGGAGAATAATTCTTCTAAATAATAGGCTAGCTTATAGATGGAACTTTTTAAAACCTCAATTTTTAATAATAGAATGCAAGAAGTAATTTTTATTTTTTTTGTGCTTTTTTTTTTTTTGAGATCCAAAAAATGGTTTTTTTGGGTGTTATTAAATATATGCAAGTGTAAGACTGTAGAATTAAACTAAATACTAGAGACAGAAATGAGGTTTAGCTTTTATTCGGTCACACTCTCTCTCTCAATTTCAAGTGTCGAGACTGACTCCCAAGCATCAAGCTACTAGATTCCAGCCAGTTCTTGGAAGATTTTGGCCAACTTGACCAAGTTAAATTTTTTCATTTATTTTAGTATCTAATATTTAGTGATGTTTAATATGAAATTATCAAAAATTACATTTTTCATGTTGGGTTTAGGTCAACAATTAGGGTTTTATAATTTTGTAATGTTTTTTCATTTTTGTTTTCAATTTTAGGTTATTTTGAGGGCTCAAAATATTACTCAAAAACATATAAAAATGGGAAAACCCTAATAATTTTTGGGGTTTTTTTTTTTTGAAAATTGTGTTATGCGGGCTGGACCGCATTTTTATATGTACGATCCAAAAAGTATAAAGCATCCATCTTAAAGATGATGCCACTAGGTGTTCCATTTAAAAACAAGGGAAACTAACTGTCTAAATGTTGTCTCACTATAACTCTTACTTTTAGTTTCATAAATTTATTTAGTTTTTCATTTCTAGTTTCAAAAAATTATTTAGTTTTTCATATTCATGATCTCCTTGTTAGAGATTAAATGTCCTTAAAAATTAAGTCATAGAATCCATTTCAAAAATAGATTTATTAAGAAGCCCGCATTTCTACATCTACGAGATTGACTGCATAGAAAATGGGTCTTTTTTCCTTTTTTTTTTTTACATATATAATTTTAATTATAATGTTGTAATTTGTAAAAGCTTATGTAGTGCTCTAATTGTCTTACATTGAGACTATAATGAAAAAATACATAACTGAATGTCTGCTTTTCTCAGAATGAGGGTTCGATAAGCCAGTTGTTTGATATCTCAAAATAAGTAGCCTAAGATTTCTACTGATGGCACAGCTATACTCCTTTTACAGCATCATCAAAATGAAAATATAGAAATACCAAGTAACTACACAGATCTCTAACAATGCCTTTTTCAGCTTTTATGGGACGAAAGCTGGGAAGATAACAAGTCAAAAATATCAAATGTCAATTGCAATTTCAGATGTCCCGCAACAAAATCGAAATCCGAAATATCGGGCGTCGGCTCAGAGCTGCCTCCATTTTTCTCTTCCAACTGCCCAAGTTTGTGGAATTTCACTTCTCCAAAACCTAGATCCTTCTTTAACAGTAAAAGAGAAGAGGAAATGGCCATGGCTATAACTACCCAACTTCTGAAAACTCACCATTTTATCTGTAAAACACTAGAACTTGCAAAAAGAGCCAAAATACCTGAGCTATAACCAACCTGAGTTCCAAAGCTCATTGTTGCTCTGGAAGACACGACGTTCTATGCGAAAAGAGGGAAAAGACGGGGAGGAACCAATGAAATGATACCAGATATTGGTAATAAATCCATGCCTTCACACCATAAATTTCTCAAATTTCTCCCATTGTTCTTCCTCTCAGTCTCTGTAATATTTCTCTATTCATACTATCACTCGGAACTCCCTCTCTTTTTGCCACGAACCTGGAACTCTAATGGGGATCCTCACACTGAGTTGCACAGAACCAATATCCAAAGCCCTAGATTTCTAAACCCCAGTTCACAAAACCCTGCATTGGCTGAGCCAGTTTCTGGAAACCATGATTCTTCACCCCCTACTTTGTCAGAGACCAGTTTTGCAGATTCTAGAGGTGCTCCATTGCACTCAGGACACCCGAATTGCTCAGGAACCAGCTTATCGGTCCCCATTATATCAACCACTAGTCCTGAAAACCCTAATTCAGGGAACACCACTAAAAATCCCAATTCCCTGAACCCTAATTTCCACTTTATTATTAAGGTCCTCACATTCGATCGCCTGGCATCCCTAACTAGATGTCTTTACTCCATTGCCCATGCTGATTATGCAGGTGATCGCATATCCCTCCATATATATGTAGACCATTTCAGGTTTGATGAATTGGGGAACAAATCTAGGGCTTTATTGGATCAAAAGCTTGAAGAAGCTCGAAAAATTCTCGGATTTATAGATGAGTTTCAGTGGAAACATGGAGAGAAGATGGTCCATTACAGGACCCAGAACGTGGGTTTGCAAGCACAGTGGCTCGAGTCTTGGTGGCCTGCCAGTGATGATGAATTTGTGTTCATTGTTGAGGATGATTTAGAGCTTTCTCCGCTTTTTTACAAGTATCTAAAGACATTGATAGCTAATTATTATTATGATCGATCAAATTCAAGTGAATTGATTTATGGAGCCTCTCTGCAACGTCCAAGGTTTGTTGCAGGTAAAAGCTTTTAGCTTTGATCATACTGTTTTCTCTTACAATTGCTAAACACCCGTTATTTAAAATCCTACATTGAAACTCTTAACTTCCGATAATAATTTCAAATGTTATTGTTCAACATCAGCTTGTTAAGTACTTAATTTCATGAACCCATTTTTGTTTTTATTCTAGTTAGATAACTTAGTTCTAGTGCCTTTTTTGAACTTTATTTGTTGAGGTTGAATGCTATTGTGGTCAATTGGTCGTCTAGGTGGAATATTTACCGGTATGCTTTCCCTCGAACTTGGGTATACTTTCCCTTGAACTTATGCTTGTGCTAACAAGCTGCATCAATATGTGTATCTTGTTTGCTCTTGGTAAATGAGTTACTTGTAATCAGGTAGTCAATTGAGCAAGTGTAGCCTCAATTGGTTTTTATGGGGCCAGTTTATGCCTGACCAGAAAAGATTGTGGGCATTAAAGAGCAAAAAGGACGTGAACTCTTAAAATTAGTTGATGTGAGGATCCTAGCTTGGAATGTAAGAGGCTTAGATAGCTTGAAATGGAGGCTAGTTTTCTCATTTCTTCTTTTGGTAGCTTAGGATGTTAAATGTTAAGGATTTGAATAGGAGACTTATTGTAGAATTGAGACCCTTTCAAGGGTCCAAGCTAGAGTAGGTTTGACCTGGAGCAGTGGAATTTTTGTAGGGTGGAGGAGATTTGAAACTTTTGTAGGGTAGAGGAGATTCAATTGGGTAAATGGTAAACTTTCTTAGTGAGATGCTTGATTAGGCCTATGATGTTGCTTACAGGGGGCACCTTTAGGAGGAGGAGGAGGATAAAGTTGAATGCTGAAGAAAGTTGGTTTCAGTGTTTTTGATGGCAGAAGGCTCGCCTCACAATTGAGTTGCCCCAAAAAGGTGAGCAGGGTGGGGGGGGAATGGTTTGGTTACCAAACCCCCTAGATGGCACCTTGACTGCCTAGGCACCGCCTTGGCACCTTGGCTATCTAGGAGGGCCTTTGGCACCCCACCTAGCCTAGGGAGGTGCGTGAGCCTTAGCCTGCTTCCAGACGCCTACGCGGGTTGGCTTTAATACATTGGTTGGTTCTGAGGTTGACAGATTCAGGTGAGTACTGAAATGAGCCAAGGAAAAAGAGAGAATCTGTAGAACAAAGCTGAACATGGTAAAAAATGACATGCTATACTTACTATCTTTATGGTGAGTAGAGTAACGTCTCATCTCCAATGTCCACCCCAATGATAGAAATTGGAGATGAACTATTCCTTCTACTCGTTAGATGGGGAACATAATCTCCAATGGTAGTCGCTGAGGTGAACTGTGAAGATGGATTACTGTGCACCTTTCGTGGAGGGTGTATGGCATCTTTCCTCAAAAAGGCATGTGTTAAAGCATTTGATTTGACCCACCAGTACAATGTGCTGGGTTAGTTAACAGACACTAGGTTTAGACTCAAAGTGGGATATTAGATTATTTGAGGTAGGCGGAGGCAACTGGAGCGAGGTATAGAGGGTAAGTTGGGTGCAGTTGGGTCACGACTGTCCACCATATCATTTTCTGTTGTAATATCACAAACGCTAACTTGAGATGTCATCTTGTCCAATTTTTTCTGGTAAGCTGATTGATTTGAGGAAACTAATGAGGTACCATAAGCCATTGTGGACTCTAGATGTCATAGTCGATGTAAGTGGGATAAAGGCTACATATTGAGATGGGCTTAACTTAATCATCTCTGCGGTTGATGTGGCGCATGGATCAGAATGGATTGAAGGGAAAAGATCATAAAGAGTATTTCAGGAGTTTCATGATGGAGATGCATAAAACACATATTACTTTGTGCCAAAGCTTGAAATGGCAGATGACATTTGGGGTTTTTGTTCATCTGCTTAGAGAAGGCATATGGCCATGTTCATTGAGATTTTCATCATTTTCTTTCAGGGATGGAGGGTTTTGACGATCAATGAAGAAAATGGATGTTGTTTTGCAGTTCTACTTCTTAAATGGATAATCTTATATTGTCAGTCAGGTGTCTTGGCCTCAGGGAAAATAACTAATTAGAGGAAAAACATGACCATAGGGGTGGGTTAGGGAATTCGCTCATGATCTAGTTATCTAGTAGACTAAAGCTCACTTCTTAACCTGTGTGCAAAGATGTACTTGGTACATGGTGAACAACGTTGTAATAGGTACATGGTTGTGCTTACTTGGGGAGGAGTCGGGAGGATTCTGGAGGAGGATCTTGTGAGAGTGAGACAAATATGTTGGGTACATAACAACACACAATAGGGCGGTTGTTTTTGAGTATGTGAAATGGAAAGAGTGTATTAATCCCTTGATGCTTTCCGTATTAGTTGCAAACGATGGGTTTGTAGAAAACCATATACAAGGAAAAGACAAGTCATACACATTCTCATGAAGTTATCATACATCTTGTACAACTTTTTTTTGTTGTTGAAAGAGTTAACTTTTGTATTAATTGGGGTAAGTATAGTAGTACAAAATTGGACTGCCTGGTTAAACCAGGGATTATGTAAAAAAAAAAAAGCTACCCACAACTCGAGAGCTCTGTACAAAACCTTTCATAGAGAGGAGACAATGGAAATGTTAAGAGATTAGGAGGAGGGCTACAGGAACCCCATAAGAGAGATTAGGCTGAGTCTACAAAAACTTACTCGTCATTCACGTTTGTAGCGCCCGCGTTGGCAAGAGAGTCCGCTTCAGAGTTACTCTCATGGTATATGCGGCTCCAAGAGACCGTAAGACCCCTTCTCACGTGAGAGATTTCATCAAAATGTGGATCAGGGTTCAAGGACAAGTGGCCAAACCAGATGCCCCGGGAAATGACATTGCTGGAGTTGCCTTCGACTATCAGGGCTTGGCTCCAGGAGATGCTGAACTGTTTGAGGCCATCAAGCAGGGCAGTGGCTTCTGCAGTGTGGGAATCAAAGTGGCCTATGTGCTTCAAGAAAGAGGCCAAAATCGATCCTTCATGGTCCCTAAACAAGCCCCCAATGCCTGCAGGAAGTGGGTTGCCTGGGGAGCAACCATCAGATTTGAGTTTTACACAGCCAGGCTCTGGCAATCTCCACAAGGAGGCATGAGGAATGCGGTTCTGGGTAAGGTAGAGTAAGGTGTGCCAGTGAAGGTGGAAGGCTGATGGGGGAAAACCTTTGAAATGCTTCTGGTTTGTTGCCCAAAAAATAACCACAGATTTGATCCTATCGAATAAGGCAATGGCGGTGGAGCTCTGGCCTCGGAAAATTTGATTGTTGTGTTCCTTCCAAACCGGCCAGAGGAGGGCCGCCATGGAGGCCTTCCACAGAAGAATTCCAGATTTGGCCCAGGGGTAGGGGTGGAGGGAGGGGGGAGGAGAAAGGAAGGGCATAGTACTGGGGGTCATCCATTGCCAGTGGAAGAGTTGGGAGAGTTGGGAGTAAGACACCCCAGAGGGAATGTGCTATTGGGCAGTGAATGGAAAGGTGGGGATTGGTTTCTTCTGCAGCCAAGCACATAGCACAACGGTTTGGTATTGACAGGCCTCTTCTTTACAACAGGTAGACAGTCAGAGCTCTCTGAGATAGTGCAATCCAGTTAAAAGACTTGGATTTTGCGGGGAGCAGAGGAGGACCATGCTTTGGCCACAATGGAAGGTGGAGCATGAGGGACAGTGGGGGGTTCAAGGAGTTTACGATAGAAGGAGACTGAAATTGTCCCCGAAGGTGCAGGTCACCAAATTATCTTGTCTTCATTGGATATTGAGAGGAATATTAAGTGAAGAAAGGAAGAGAAGTCGAGGAATACCTGGAATTCGTGGTTTGAGGGAGATCTTCTGAGGTTGGGGCTCCATACTCTGACTGAGCCATATATAGGGAAGAGTTCTTCTACAGTAGCTTGCCGTTTCAGAGCTAGGAGGAATAGTGCGGGAAACGGGTCTTTCAGAGGAGTTTGACCTAACCAACGATTGAACCGTAATCGGATCCGAGTGCCCGTCCTAGGGTGGCCTTTGAAGAGGTTTAGGACACTGAGGGATTTCCAAATACCAGAGTCTCTGCCGTTAGCCTGGCTATCCAGCAGCCAGGAGGATTTGTCAAGGTGATATTTGTGGCTGATAACCTCCTTCCAAAGATGTCCCTCTTGGGTAGTATAGCGCCACCACCCCTTCCCCAGAAGAGCCAAATTGGTTTTCCTTAAGCCACGGCTCCCAAAACTCCCTAGGTGGTGAGGTAAGCATATTTTGTCCCAGGAAATCAGGTGGAATCTGTGCTTATTGTCGCCGCCAGCCCATAGAAAATTGCACATGAGTTGTTCTAGGCGAGAACTAAGGCATTTGGCGGAGCGATATCTGGTAGATGGGCACATTAGAGAGGGTGGCCTTAATTAAGGTGACTCTTCCTACTGGGGATCGGAAACGACCCTTCCAAGTGGCAAATTTTCTGTCAAACTTGTCCACGATGAGTGCCCAAAGCCTTTGTTTCAGCTTGCTGAGGCACAACGGAAGGCCTAGGTAGGTAGAGGGGAGATGCTCTGGTTGGCAACCCCATCTATCGGCCCACTTCTGAGTGGTTTGTGGGTCGAGAGCGACCCATCATCTTAGATTTTTGCGTGTTTACTTTGAATCTAGTGGCCCACTCAAAGCATTTGAGCAAGAGGAGAAGAGAGTCTACCTCCTAGGGAGAGGATTCGCCGAAGACCAGGGTGTTATCTTCGTGCAGGAGGTGAGTTATGGTTGGTCTGTGGGGACCAATGGAAAAGCCATGTAGCATGGTAACAACTTAAAATGAGACTTATCAAAATCCTTCCCCACATGGTAACATATGGAGCATGTCCTTCTCTCTAGCGAAAAAAGGAGCTTTTCCCTCTCATGGTCGTCTGGAGAGCCTTGGTCAGTTGTTGATCTGATTTGATTTCTACACCCAACCATTATTTCATATCAATTTTTTTTTTTCTGCCACAGTGATGATTCTTTAGTCTTCACCTGTTGTATTGGGTTATTTGATAGGTTAATTTCAGGTTAATTATTACAGTATTAGTATGTCTGAAATTATATTGTAAATCATTACTTAGCCACAGTGTTATTTGTCACACCAAAAGAAGAAATATGAAAAACCATTGAACTAAATGCCCTTTACCAGAAAGAGGACCAAATTTGATTATTCACGTACTCTTTAAGTTAATCCGTACTGTTTCATTAATCGTCTCTTTGGTCTTTTTCGAGTTTTCTTAATTCTACAGCACAAATCTTTCTCTCTCTCATTAACCCTTTAATCATCCTGTTACTGCAGGAAAGCACGGGAACAAGCTCCAACTGGACAACCAAACTAATGTCTTCTTGTACCAGATGGTGGGCACTTGGGGCCAGCTCCTCTTTCCCAAACCATGGAAGCAATTCCGCCTTTGGTATGACACCCAAAAGACCATGGGCATAAAGCCAATCCTTGAGGGCATGGTAACAACTAACTGGTATAAAAAGAAGGGTGAGAGAATATGGACTCCATGGTTCATTAAATTCCTCCATTCTTTTGGTTACTTCAACCTCTACACCAATATCTCTCTAGAAAGAGCCCTAAGCGTCTCTCACAGAGATGCTGGTGTTAACTATGGTAGAAGTGCAGGGCCCGATTCAAGCCTCATCAATGGCAGTTCTCCGTTGGATATCAACCTTCTGGAAATGAAGCCTCTAAAAGACCTAGAATGGTTTGATTTTTGCTTTGGAGAAGTGGTTATGGGGAGAGTGGCAAAGAATTTCAATGAATTGGGTTCCCTTCTTTTGTCTCTTCAGAAACAGGGGACTGTAATAGTCGTGGATTTGTATAGGATTTCTAAGGCAAATGCCATGAATCTACTATGTCATTTCGAGAGGTTGAATATTCGAAATTATGTTTTATTGGGTGACGGTTCGGGGTTCTTGTATGATTTAGCAAATAGGGGACACCCAGTTGTTGATTCTGAACTGTTAGTATTAGAGATTAGAGCTTTTGATCCAATGAAGATGCAGGGTGTTAACTCTGATTTTATGAAAGAAATTTTAATTAAGAACCATGTGATAAATAAGTGTTTAGAATCTGGTTTGGGAGCTTGGTTGATCACTGCAAACATGGTTCCAATAGAAAATATGTTTTCGAACATGACATATCAAAGGGAGGATATCGTGTTAGTGAAAGATACAGAGCTTTTGTTCTTCAGAAACTCAGAGACCATGGTGAAGGCTTGGTCCAGTAGTGAGAGAAAGATGGTGGAGATGGCTCAGTCTTTGGTCAGTAAGGGGGAACCTGTTGGTGAAGAGAGAGAAAGAGCCTTTGTGTACATTGCTACCAAGATATTGAGAAACATTGGCATCACAATTGAAGAGAGAGATAGTACTGGATTTGGGGTGAGAATAGGTGGAGATGTGAATAAGACTGAAAATGGGACTAGGAAAAGGGTGGTGTTTTGGTCTGATGGTTTGGATCTGGGATTAGTGAGAGATAATTTGGAGAGTATGGATTTATGGGGGATTGACAGGGATTTGGCCTGCAAGGCTGTTGTTTGTCATCACTTGTAGATTTCTCCACAGTTTCTTACTCTTGTTCTTGTTAATTCGGGATCTTGGACTTTTATGAAAAGAGTTTTTTTGGCTTATAAAGAAGGTTAGTACTGCATTAGGTTAGTACTGCATTATTTATTTGGAAGAACTATGCAGTTCTGCAAAAACAAGACTCTCTCTCTCATGCACATAGTTACAGATCTCTACTAGCCCAATACACCCGACTTTTTAATTCTAACTTCTTGCCCTGCAACGCTTTAGTTTCTATAGGAACATCCTTTGTAGAGCTTTATTTCGATCATGATGATCCTTTTTATTGAATAAAAATTCCACCTTTCAAAAACCCCATTTCCATTTCCATGTTTATACATCTCCCCTCACGCTCTCGTCTCTCTCTCGCAGTCTAGAGAGAGACGCTCTCCAAGAGAGCAATCCTTTCTCTCTATTCTCTAAGAACCCCACTTCCAAGCTATGTTGTCTCTCGCAGTCTAGAGAGAGACGCTCTCCAAGAGAGCAATCCTTTCTCTCTATTCTCTATGAACCCCACTTCCAAGCTATGTTGTTGCCCACCTACTGGTTCTTGGGAACCGCTCAATCTGAGGGCACAAGATCTCTGATCCTTGCCCAACCAAATTTTTTATCAGGGTATTTTGTTGTCCAAAGTGAATCAATCTGAGGGCACAAGATCTCTGATCCTTGCCCGGAATCGGAAATCCTTAAAAGCATTGTTTCAATTCTCCAAGAAATGATCAATTGGCCCAAAGAAGTCCTGCGCTTCAACTATCAAGTGAATCAATCTGAGGGCACAAGATCTCTGATCCTTGCTCGGAATCGGAAATCCTTAAAGGCATTGTTTCAATTCTCCAAGAAATGATCAATTGACCCAAAGAAATCCTGCGCTTCAACTATCTTTGAAGCGTGGCTTTCAAATATTGGTAGAGTTTCATGTTTATGAAGCTTCAATGAAATCCCAGACTCTCTTTCATTCTTTGACAATGCTCGGAGGATTAATTATGGAACTGGTCATGAGAAACATAAAGCACCACCATGAACTAACTTCAGAAAAAATGAAAAGAAAAAAAAGGAACCAGCGGACTAGGCATTATAAAAACTGTCCTTTTTATATTCCAAATATGAAAGAATAAAAAAGCAAAAAAGATATTTTGAAATAATAAAAAAATAAAAAACATTTTTTCTTTGTCTATTTGTTTTCATTTTTTGGATTTTCTAGTTTCTCTTTAATGCATTGTCTATTTGCCAGACCAAAAATTGAAAAAAGAAAAGTAGAAAAATGAAAAACATGCTGCACATATATTTCAATTTCAATGCCCCAGCTTTTAATGAATATAAACTAAAAGAGAAATCGTAATTTCAATTTTCTTTATTTTATTTTTCTCTAGATTTTATTTAGGGTTCTCCTTTTAAGCCTGTACAAATTACAACATTAAAAGTTAAAAATACATATGTAATATATATATATATATATATATATATCAAGATTTTTCCCATTTTTTTTATTTTTGAGTAATATTTTGATTCAAGATAACCTTAAATTGAAATAAAAAATGAAAAAAAAATACAAAATTATAAAACCCTAATTGTTGACCTAAACCCAACATGAAAATGTCGTTATTTCATATTTCTAAACCCTAAAGTGGTAAATATTAAACATTACTAAATATTACATACTAAAATAAATAAAAAAATTTAGGCCAAAAGCTTGCAAGAAGTGGCTAGAATCTCGTCGGAGCTTGGGGAGTCAGTTTTGCTCTTGAAAACTGAGAGAGTGACTTAATAAAAGATGGGAAAGGTTTCTATGCTTTCCGTACAGTTTAGAAGTTGTATCCTCCTCTTACTATCTAGCCGTCTAATTTTGATCAAGAGAGCCACTCACCGTTTGATCTCCGATGTCTCAAAGTATTTTATTTTTATTTTTTTATACAAATTTTATAAATATGAAATTTGATACGTGCCATCTTCTCATTGGGGCGCACTTATAAAAAATAGTAAAAATAAATTTTTGATAAAATATAATGACCAAAATACCCCTTAAAGATTTTAGGCGTATTTTGGTCATTATTTTATTGAAAATATTTTTTTTTATATTTTTTACTTGTGCAAGTTTAATAGAGGAATGGACATCCAAATTTGGTGTCAAAATAGTTTATAGAAAAAACTTAAAAATAAAATAATGTAGAGACGTGACATTGTGATTGGGGCAATCTCAACCTTTCATTCAGAATGGACTGTTGGATAAGGGCGAAGATCGAACTTCTATGCTGTAGGGGACACATAGAAAGCTTGCCCATAAAAGATAAACCTCCTTTTTCTCTCTCTCTATTCGCATTTAATAAAAAAAACTTCACCTTCCTAAGGTTTACATTTGCGTATATTTAATATGACCCAAAAACACGATTTTTTGGATATCAAAAAAATGCACAAAAAAAATTAAAATTACTTCTTGTGCTCTATTATTAAAATTTGAGGTTTTAAAAAGTCCCATCTATAACATAACATGTTGTTTTTGAAGAATTATTCTCCTGGATATGTCCCTGGCAATTGATACTAAAACGTATATCTGTATTGAATATAAATTATTAAAATATGTATTTAATGATTTTTCTCTATTATAGAACTTGGCTAACTGTAAATTCGGCTAGACAACGGGATTATAAAAATTAACAAAATACCATACAATAATTAACAACATAATCAAAATAAAAAATACACAAGATAATCATAATATTAATTAATAAACATTATTTAAGTCATTATATCTCTTCAGTTTCTTCCAATGCTCCAAAATTTCGTTTTGACTCCATTAATCATTAAGCCTTCTAATTTAAAAGCCAAGCTTCTCCCAATATGTCTTTTGTTTTTGAATTATGCTGGCAAATTAGTTTATATGGATAGTGATGCTTGAAAGTGTCTCATAGCATGGAAAAAGAAAAGAGAAACAATGAACGCTTATCACGTCCCAAAATATTTTCTTTTTCACTGTATTAATCATTAAGTCTTTTAATTTACTAATCAAGCTTTTCCCAATATATCTTTTGCTTTCGAATTTGGCATAGAAAATTAGTTTATATGGATAAAGATGCTTGAAAGTGTTTTAATAACATAAAAAAATAAAAGAGAAAAAAAATAAAAGTTTATCACACAATAAAAGCATGTTATTCCAAAAACTTTTACATTGAAAGCGCGTGCTTCCAAGCTGGGAGTCACATATTTTGCTACATTCGTGGGCTAGTTCATATGCCCTACTCATTCAAACAGTTTAAACTACATTATATTGGGGATTACTAGTTGCCCCAATATTTTGCTACTCCAATCAAATTGTTCGTATATTCTCACCTATATTCATCTACTTAAAATAGATTTTCTAATTTTAATAGTAAAAAATGCGTTCGAAAATTGTTTCATGGGGGCAGGACATCATTTCTATACATGCGGACCAGAAAGTGTAAATCACCCATCTTAAAGATGGATGCAACTGGGTGTTCCATATAAAACAATGGAAACTAATGGTCCAAATGTTTTCTTACTAGAATTATTATTTCTAGTTTTTAAAATTTATTTATTTTTTCATATTTCATGATCTCCATGTTAGAGATTACATGTCTTTAAAAAGTAAGTCTTAAAATCCATCTCAAAAAGAGATTTTTATTAAGAGGCCTGCATTTCTACATATGTGGGCTTGGCCGCATAGAAACCGGGTTCAAATATATATATATATATATATATATATATATATATATATAGTAAGGTATGTATTCTATGACGTACGGTTAGTAGTAGTAGTATAATAGACCAACCTACTTACTAACTAAAACTAGTAGTTAGACGATT